TTGTCAAGAATAGCTGATACGGATGCCTTCAGAGGAGTATACTGATTTCAATCGCGATCGTGATGAGGAACTGGTGCATAGGACTTTTTGGGTTCATGACGCGGTTTCTTTCCTTTTCGTTGATCGTCAGTAACCCACCTATGATCAACTCTCCTACTCTCCCCTTGATCAGACGCACTACTCGAAGCGCCGGGGTCGCGGTGGTGGAGCGCCGCCATGGAATTTTCAATGCAGAGGTACTTCTTCGCAAGGTTATAAAAGCGGGTGAGGGAAACATCATCCTCAGCCTGTAATTCTTTCCATAGGTCGGTCTGTGAGCGAACTCCTACTATGATAAGAGTCCGAACAGACTCTTCGGGAGTGTGAGCTACTTTATTAAGTTCTCTATGGAATCGATCGATGTACGATTGGAGGGATTCATCCCTCTCTTGCCTTATGTTGCTGGGGTAGCTCAAAGGCATTGAGAACTTTCGGTTTGCTTGGAAATGCCTCAGGAACGCCGTGCTCATCTGAGGCCACGAACAGATCGATCCTGTAGGGAGCGACCTGAACCACCGCTTGGCATGAAAGGTTAGAGTTACTGTCAAAAAATGACACTTTGCCAAATCTGAAACCTGGTGAAGCTCCGTCAGGTCGTTGAATTCATATAGGTGATCCTGCAGATCAGAATTTCCATCGAATGCTCGCATGTCAGGCATTCTAAATCTCGACAGGAGAAAGGCAGCTAGTACTATCAGAGAAATGGGAGACGCTGATGTGACATGTTCTTGCTCATTTTGCTGAGCTCTTAGCTGGTCTAGAGCTCGCTGCAGCTCTTCAATCTGGGGCAGCAGAGCTATATGGGGATTGCTTTCCCCCATGCGAGTTTAACCCTCGATGTTGCGGTTGAGGAAAGTTTGGAGGTCGGATTCCACCTCGCCTTGGTCGGTAGTCCCAGTCGCTCTCGACACACGCTGGCTAGAGCCGTGTGACGGCCATGGATGGTGTGAGGAATTTTCACGACCTCTGCGGTGGTAAGAACCGCCCCGCGGAGTGTGGGAACCTCCCACATGACTGTAATCAGGATTGCTTTTTGGGCGGTGATGGGAATCGCCCTGCCTAGCACTTTTATGGGGGCTTTCATGCGACGTGGCATAGGACGGCTCGGGCTGCGACTTTTCACCGAGTCTTAACGCCACGGGTATTCTATTCAGGACGTGGTCAGTGTTCGCTGGCCCTTTGGAGCCCTTAGGTCCATTTTTCACCACTTGCTTACCCTTTCTTCGACACGCTACAATGCTCGCGGCGCGGGCTATGACCCTTTGCCGTGCTTTCGCGTGACCTGCAAGTGTTTTTTATGGTTGCACCGCTTCATTTGATTCGGGCCGCACGCCCCGGTCCAAACGGTCCAACCTTCGGTTGACCATTTGGAGAGTATTGTTGAACCTCTCTAGGTAGCTTCTAAGGGCAGGGTCAAGTTGTGAACTTGAAGGGATATCCCCGCGACATTTTGCTGAATCGGAGGTGCCTCGGGAGAGGCGCCCTCCTATGCTTAGGGGGTCTCCTCAGCACCCTGATAGGTTTGCCCAGGTTCGTGTCAGCGAGTCACTTGTTGTTATAGGACCAGTTAATCAGAGATTCTCCTGATGAAAGACGAATACTAAATCAAGCCCTCCTTCTAGCGTCAAACTATTGATGCATGATTTTGATACCAACCAAATGCACGTGTGAAATGCTGAGCTGACCTCGAAGACACGTGGATGAATGAATAAAAGTAAAAACAATGGAGAACGGCGTTTAAAGTGGTTCGGATGCTAAGGAAGCAAATCCTACATCCATTGATTTTGTATTAATGATGGTGGTCAGGTTGCGTTCAGCGGACTGACTTACAAATGATTATACAAGAAAGAGTGTGTGTTATCTTTCTAGAGAGATTTGCTCATCCCTTAAATGAGAGAGGAGCTCTCAATTTATAGTGGGACGGATTAAGGTTATCATTACTAAATCTGTGATTTGGTGGGATTATCCGTGCAAATCCTTCTTTATGTCCCATTGTTCACCTTCTAAGAGTGATTTACGCGATTTGGTATAGGGATTGGACACGTGGAATCGCCATAGCCCCTGACCAGTCTGACGCACACCCACTGCCCTGACAGGAGCGTGTCGTCTATGTCATTGCATGACGTGGCTACCTCTGACTGACTGCGAACCTGTCTAAGCTCTGACTTTTCATGCTAACCAAGTCTTACGTCAGCTCTACTTTTTTGGGTATAACATCCTTAAAACATCAATTAATATGAAACGGGAGATTAATATTTACTTTAATAATTGATATTACTGTTGGTTAATTATTGCAAGACCTACATAGTCTTTGTAAATTGGCCCCACTTCTTTTTTATTGTAATAATAGTCTTTCTAAATATCATCTCTTAATAAGAAATCCCAAACCCCTGAGATATACCTTAATACATGAACCCCTGCTGTTTTTGGATATAGCTCACCACACCCTACTATTAGTCAAACGTTAACACCTTTCTGTTAAATAAAAAACATCAACATTGCCTAAAAACATTAATCATCTTTTCCTCAAAAGTCGGCACCTTTTTCATCCTTTCTCTTCTTGCCAGCACTCTCCTCTTCCTCCTTAGCCACCACTTCCTCTCATCTTTCTCTTCACGCTCCCTCTCCTTTTTCTCCTTAGGCCGCCGCCACCACCTCGTCTACTCATGTCGCCTCCTCCCATCTTCTCAAACTGCCCCTTCCCATCATCCTGTCAAGCCACCGTCTGTCGCGTTGCCCTCCTGAAGGCTACGAAGCCGTAGCCTTGTTGGGCAAAGCTACGACCTCTTATTTTGGTCGTGGGTTAGGTCACAAGCTAGGCCGCTACTGCTTGGAGTTTAGGGTTTGATTTTGTCATAACTGATTTTATTTAATTATTTATTATATAAACTTAAAATGGTTTATATTTATTAAATTTATTTTTATTTTATTTTATGCAACCCAGGGGTAAATATGAAATTTAAGTTGTGTAGGATGTCAGATGACAGATTTTAAGTAATTCTGATTAACGCCGGTAGGGGGTCGTGAGTCATATCTAAAACCAGAGGGGGTTATTAGTGAGTCTGGGGGTTTAGAGTAATTTTTCTTTTATTTAAATTAACCCACTTTATTTATGGTACAGTTATTTTTAACTGTACTAACTGTACCAGATTCTTTCACATTAAACATGTGTGAAGTGTGCATATAAATTACGGCGAGGAAGCAGAAGAGAAAACATACTATGAAAGAGAGATCAGAGAGATACACACAATTACATAACACATCCCTGCCGTGCTGTGAGGTAGCTGTGACTTTCGAGAGGTGGAATCAACTGATCAGGTCAGGATACTATCATCTTCATGCTGCTCTTAACCTTTACTAAAACTAAACATGCATGCACTTAATTTTCATTTGCTTTTTTTTTTTTTTTTTTTCATTAATCAAATTCAAGATTAATGGGATTGCCGGATTCCGACACTAGAAAAAACTTCCGGTGAGTGAAACGATACCTCCAACACCAATCTGATCAAAGTTTTGCGATCAATCTATTGGTGCTGAGGCGTAGTCTAAATCATGGACACATATGTTTAGAATTGTTTTCTCTTTGGTTTGGTGTTAACAATGTTCTAAAATACTCATCGGAGGCAGACAGCTTTGGCAGCTGCCGACTACTTTTATTATTATTATTATTATAAATTGAAAAGAATCTAATTAAACTAAATGTTTAAAATAATAATTATTCAGATAATTAAAGTATATAAAATAGTATAATACTTTTTTAATCTACCTTTTTAGTTTATTATGTATATATATATATATATATATATACACAATGGATATGCGGTAGCTAATTGTACCTTGTGTTAATTAAATGCATAGTATTACTTTGGATTATAACATGCAATTTGTTCCTTTTTCAAGCGTTTGGTATGACAGTTATTCTATATTACCGTTACAAATATAATAGACAATTCTTCCCAATTCCAACATTCTGTTAAGGGGATTCGTTTCAGGAATCTCTACCTACATATTTTTAATTTAAATCTTTGTAAATGATATTAATATAAAATATTTATTTTTTATTTATGACAGATTGCATATTATTCTTAAAAGCTATTTATGGAAATAATTACCTCATGATAGCAACATGATTTTCTTCTGAGGGTTGATTATTTTGAGTGATGCATTTATCTGTTTATTGTTATTAATTGACTATTGTCAGTACGGTTTGTCAATAGGGCAAAGAAGTTGGAGATGAGTGATTTTCTTAAACTTGTGAGGATTTGGTCAAAGAGTTGCGCATTGACATTGACAAAACCTTGGAACCTGAGCTTGATGCTCGTCAGTGTTGTATTTATAGGGTTCCTAAAGATCTTCGTAGCTTAAATGAAGAAGCCTACACTCCTCAATTAGTTTCAATAGGTCCTCTTCATCATGGAAAAGAAGAATTAGCTAATATGGAAAAAACAAAAAGAAAATATATGAAAAGTTTTCTTGAACGAATAACAACAGAGAATCGAGATAATGTTTTAAACTTCATCAAGGATAACGAGAAAAGTGTCCGTAATTGTTATGCAGAGACGTCTAAACTTGGGAGCATTGAGTATGTAATGATGATTTTATATGATGCTATTTTTATCATAGAGTTATTTTTAAGGTATCAATCCAATTTTGGTGGAAGTGATTTATTACTACAAGTAAGAAGAGTAAGATCATCTTTACGTAGTGACTTTCAATTGCTCAAAAATCAACTTCCATACTTCATCCTCGAGGAAATATGTGAGTTAGCTCTCGCAGGCCTTAGCATGCCTACCTTCATGGTGCTTTCACATCGTTTTTTTAATACTTCTAATTCGAAATTGAGTATGTTAACCCCCCAGGTTGCAGTTAAACATTTCACCGATTGGAGAAGAACTACTATACTGAAACACTACCAAAAGTCTGAGCAAATCGACAGACAGGGTTATTATCTACCTTCTGCAATGAAGTTGCATGAGTCAGGAGTGAAGTTTAAGTGTTTTGAAGGAGAAAATAGCTTAATTGACATAAGATTTGAAAAACGAAAGCAACGTGTCCCATGTTTTGAAGAACATGAGTTGCAAATACCACATTTAAAATTATCAGATGACACTGAACGTCGATTTAGAAACATTATGGCTTTGGAACAGTGTCATTATCCATATGATACTCAAGTTTGCAATTACGTTAGTCTAATAGATGGTCTTATTGATAATGAAAAAGATGTGGAATTGCTTGTTGAAAATGGAATTATTTCCAATGGATTGGGCAGCAATGCTTCGGTAGCAAATATGTTTAACAAACTTTGCCTATTTGTCAATTTAGGTGAATCCTCTTACTATGACTTTTGTGAGGAACTCAAGAGACACTGTAACAATCCATGGAACAGAACAAAAGCAACTTTGAAAAGAGTGTATTTCAACAATCTTTGGCGAGGCACTGCAACTGTTGCAGCGGTTATACTCCTATTGCTCACTTTCGTACAAGCCATATGTTCTATCTTGCAAGTTGAGTTTATGTAATTTATATTTGCAAGTTGTGTGATTGTAAATGTAATTTTGTATTGAAGCTTGTTGTCTTAATAATGTAAAATGCTTGCTATGTATTTCATTAGTTCTCATTGACACACTATAGCATGATTCAATTATATCTAGTAATTTTTCTTCTCAAACAGCGGTTGTCTTTCTGGGGGACCAAAATGTTAACTTCAATGAACAACGGGGGCAGAATATAATGAGAAAGTTACATTTTTTTGGAGCTAATGCGTTACCTTCAAAAATTAGGGGTGTCTAGATGAGAATAACTACATTTATAGGGGCTAAATTTTGTTTTTCTAGATAAATTTTAAAGATTTTTGTGAGACCCGGTGTGCCCAAGGTCACCCAAGCCTAAGGTTGCCTTTGTCAAAACTGTTGCTATTAAATCAACCATTCTATGAGAGGACTGTAGTGTTTGGTGACTTATTATAGTGTTTGATAGATTTGAACAATGGGGTTCAAAAACCAATCAGGGACAGAGCCACTAATGTATGAGGGGAGGCTTGAGTCCCCGCTTAACTTGGGATAATTAATTTATGCCCTTATACTTTATGTTTTAACATTAACACCAATTTATTTTATTTAATCAAAATAGCTTAAATCCAAGCATTATCACTTTTATTTTATTTTGTTCATCTGATATATCAAATATATTTATTTTGTTTCTTTTGTTATCAATCAAATACATAAATAAATACAAAATTATTTTGTATATGAAGATTTATTAACAAAACTTAATAAATTAAAAAGTTAATTTATTATGGATTATAATATTTAAAATGTTTTTTGCTTGCCCTCTCGGAGACAAAATCTTTGCTTCGTTGTTGAACCCAATCCACAACCAAATATATGATTCTCAAGAATTTTTTGGAAGTTGTGGCTCATTATTATTTTAACCTCCCACACCAATTACTTGTAACTTCCCATAAGTTATTTTGTAGTAATCACCATTTATATAAACTCTTCTTACATAAAAACATTACGTAAAACCAAAAATATCATAGAGGGAAACATGATCACTGGTTGACATGAAAGTTTTTGATTCTCCATCAATACATGGACTAAGGTCTTGCATAGACTAGAACCCATCCCAATTTACGAACGTCTTGAAATTTGATTACTATGATTAAAGGTATGTTCTTAAGCTTCCGCTTTCAATTTAATAAAGTTTAGAGTAATATCTCTAGTTTGGTATTCATTTCCTTTTAATTTAATTAATGAATATACGTATGCCATGTTTTCCAATGTTTGATTGAAATTGGGATGAATTCTATTTTGAACTAGTTACGTGGTTACGTATATTAACTTGGGTTCCGATTTAGCAATTTTTTCATTATTTCTCATTCACACACTATAGCACGTTTCTATTATATCTAGTAATTTTTATTCTCAAACAAGGGCAAAGCCAGAAAATATTTTCTAGGGGGACCAAAATGTTATCTTCAATGAATAACAGCCAATAAGAAATCAGAAAGTTACATTTACCCAAATTCATAGCAAAATTTGTTCAAATCTCTCAAACACATCATTCTCATTCAATATTTTAACACATAACAAAACCTAATCATTCACGTCAAATACAAAAATTTACATGTTGGCTTTGGAGCACTATCATTATCCACGGGATACTGACAGTAGGGCGTCATGAGCTATATCTAAAACTAGCGGATGTTTAAAGTAATTTTTCTTTTATTTAAATTAACCCATTTTATTTTACGGTTGGTTTTTAACTATACTAGATTCCTTGCAATTAAACATTAAGGTGAGAGAGTATAAGAGAAAATTATGGGTTATGGATGGTAAAAATGGTGGATTTGGATAGGATCCGATTCATATGAATTTCTATCTAGTCTAATCCAGTCCAAGATTAAAATCTGAGGATGAACTGGATTCAATTTTTATGGATAATGGATTGGATTATGGAGTATTGAATCCATAAATTTTAATATGTATGTTTAATCTAGTTTTTGTATTTTAATCAAGTTTTTATATTTTCATATTAACTTTTTTGTATTTTAAGCCTAAGTAATTAGTCAAAATACAAATTTTCCTTCATACTAATTTGTATTTTAATAAGTAGTTAATAAATATTATAAAATATATTATAACAACAATAGTTATTAGCTAGAGCCAGTCAACCATCTTTGACCGATAATCAGTGCTAGCTGGTTAGTCTAGATCAAACTTCCCCAATTTACAAGAATCTGGCTGAATCACTAGATTTCGATGATGCTTATTTTGGCATTAGAAGACAATGGTGAATATTTTACCACCTTTTGCAGCCAAAATTAGGGGTGGGTGTTTGCCCTATATTTCCAAGGACCCTTCTTCTCCTTTTCTATGACTATTGTGAGAATTTTTGCAATTTTTGCGACGAATCTCTCTTCACACATTTCGACTTCAGCGAATCTCCGATTATACACAACTCCGAAGCCAACCGTCATCGATCACAGTCGTCGTCACTTCCTTTAGACAAATATGTGAGTGCTTTGGTGAGTGTTTCCATTATATATGAACAATCGTTCCTCTTCATAGAAATGGTCGTTCCTCCTCTTCTTTTGCTGCACTCTGCTCAATAGGGTAGGGAATGAGACAGGGAAAATTCCCCGTGGGGGTGAGGATTGAGGCAAGGGCAAGGTGAGGCGAGAACGGAAATTCCCTATCATCCCCGTAGCAAGGACGAGGTAGGGATAGGGAATGGGATCCTTGGCCGAGCCCCACCCGACACCCAACCCTAGCCAAAATCTGGTGATTCAATCGAATTCCTATTGATCGGCCACCTTTGATCGATGTTGATCATTGACAGTGATAGCCAACAGTCAATGCTATTTAATCAATGTGATCAATGTTGGTGATCAATCTATTAGTGCTAGCAGTGTAGTCTAAATTAGTGTTTTAAAACTCGGCCCAGCCAGTTGAACTAGTTCAACCGAGACTCAGGACCTTCGCCGGGCCGAGTTAACAATTTTCCTGTTTACCCAAAACCCTAAAATTTGGGATGATGATCGACGAACAATTGAAGGTTAAGATGTTGGAGCTTTTGAAGAGGAAGTGCCGGTGAGTGCATGGTTCACAAAAATAAGGCTAATCCTGCTTGGAAATTCAACGCACAACACTTTTTATGTCACTTCTCAATGTTTCCACCAAGGAAAATCATATTTTGCAGATCATAAACATCTCCGTCAATCTGCATTTGTCCACCAAAAATTTTATAAAAGAAGTGACTAAGCCTTGGATTTCTTTGCTTTAGCTTCAGCAACTGGTTTTGTTTTGAAAGGCAGCAAGGTCTTGCCACCCATGAACGGTTGTAAGACCTCTGGTACTTCAACACCATCTTCCTTCTGGTAGTTCTCAAGGATACTGCAAATGGTCCTTTCTGTTGCCGTTAGTGTAGAGTTCAATAAGTGCACATATTGCTTCGTCTGTTCATTGCCCTGCAATATTTCAAAATTGCAAAAGCAAAATTGTGAGTTTGGAAGAATTCTGGCCACAAAAATAATATTAAAAGATCAGTGAATGCTCTAATTAATTTCCATAACAACTACAAAGTTCTACTGGTTAACAACATGAAACCAACTGTCCATTTTAGAACTGGTACCTCAAGCAAAATGGATAACCAGCAGAAGTTGCTAGCTTCTATATCATAGAAGAGTTTGTTTATTTTGAAAATGAGTAGGGGCGTCACACTACTCATATCATATGGCTTAGCCGGCACTAAATGGGAACAAGTAAACAGGACATACCTTTTTCTGTCCATATCGAATCTCCAATCTTCTAGACTGATAATCTGTACAGTTTGAACATGACACCAACTCTCTATAGGTTTGCGATGCAGGAAACCATCCTTCTAAATCGTACTTCTTCGCTGCCGCGTCATTCAAGGCACCAGAGACAATGGCCACAATTTGATAGGGAATGCCTAGCTAGCTGCATGTAAAGTAATATTCAATTAGAGCCAAACCTTTCCTCATTAATTATTTGATTATTGCTCGCAACTTTGCTGCTAAAAAGATCCATAAAAGAATCAAACTTATGATAGCCGGTTTAAGGCTTTGATACTTCAACGCCATCTTCCTTAGGTAGTTCTCAAGGATACAGCAAACGGTCATCTCTGTTATTGTGAGGGTAGAGACCAACAACTGGACATATTGCTGCCTGTGTTCAATGTTGTGAAACAGTACAAAATTACAAACGAAAAAACTCGAGTTTGGGAGACCTTTTGTCACAAAATTGATATTTAAATATTAGTGAATGCAGGTTCAGTTGCTCTAACACCAACTGTGCAGTACTAATTGTTGACTCACACCAGCCATAAGCAACACAATACTAATTGTTCACTTTCTAATCAGTGCAGCAAACAAAATAGATGACAATCTGTGAATCACACCAGCCATAAGATACCAACAATCAAGCTAAACATGGCTGACAACTTCCTCCCCTTATAAATATAGCTTTGCCAATCCAATAAATAGGAACAAGCCCATGTTGACTCTTTTTGACCGATAATATGTACAGTTCAAAGAGAACACCTATACTATCTATAGGTTTGTGATGTAGGAAACCACACATCCAAATCACATTATACTTCTTTGCAGCCGCATCATTTGAAGCACTAGAAACAATGCAATCAGGAAAGGAAGACGAATTGTGATCATATGCAAGGCTGCTGTAGAGTCACTCTCCAACTAGAGAAAATCCCAAACCTGCAGGGAACAAACTAAATATGTTTTATACTTCAAGTTCAAGTTTGCTATATGCCTTTCACTTTGACACGTTCAAATAATTTGCAATTTTTTTTTTCTCACAAATTAAACCAGTACCATTGCTAAATCAATCACGTCGGGAGAAAACTATTCTATGGATTACTAATTAAATTGAACTGCTGTCTGTTATGAAGATATTGCAACATTGATCTCATTGTCTGTAACAGTGCCAGAAAATTACAGAACAAAATTTATAAATTTGAAAGAATTTCAGCCATGACA